CATAATGCTTTCTGTAATGCAGCTGAGCTTGCACCGAGTTTTGTAGCATAGAATTCTGCAAAATCAGGTATGCTAAATCCCCATCCATCCAGTGCACATGCAAACACAACATTCCCCTTCTGGGGTTGAAATGTCTCCTCCTCATCATCCTCTGGAAACTCATAATTCTCATCAACAATGTCACCCGATGGAGCTGCTGAGAGAATAGAGTCCACATCCGACAAGTACTTTTCTGACTTATATGTGCTCACTATGTTATTAACTTCATGCACAATCCTCAACAACCTATTATATGCCTCCATGGGACTCAATCTCAGTTCACATATCAATCTATCAACCTTATTCAAAACTAAGCACGGAGTCAACTTCTCGATCCAAGCTTGTCGCAGCACTGCATGGGTTTGAATGTGGACACCCTCCACTGCATCTACTAATACCAATGCACCATCACTCAACCGCGCAGCCGTGGAAACTTCGCTGCAAAAATCCATATGGCCTGGTGAATCTATTAAATTTATGGAATGCTCTTTGTATTCTAGAGCAATAGAGGAACTCTTCATTGTTATTGCTCGCCTTTGTTCCTCATCTAAATAATCCATAAATCTAAGTTTACCAGCTTGCTTCGGATGGAGCACACCCCCACCATATGACGCAATTAAATGATCCGCTAAAGTAGTCTTGCCATGATCCACATGGGCAAGAATGCACATATTCCGGATTTTTTCACAATCAAAATCTTTTACACCCATCTGTTTAACAAAATTATACTAAAACAACCTCAGTCGAACAAACCTAACAGCCTTATACTTCAATAAATACAACAGTATTATTGTAAACTAACGGGGATTGTAAATTTAAATCCCGGAGCAAAAATGCAATATTGCTAAACACCCACCGTGTAAAATTGACTGCTTTCGCAAAAAAGGAAGTCCCTTTATTCTGACTCAAGGAATTGAATAAACCCAGCCCAAAAACTAGACAGATAAGTGTGTGTAAGAAAAAGGGTTTTTGATCAAGGATCGAGAGGAATTTCTGTTTGGTTCTTTCCTGTGAAGAATTAAAGGAAGCCTGAAAATAGAACTGATATTATTGCAAGCCTTAATTTCGTCTGTAAACCTAAAAAGCATGCTGTTTGGTTAAACAAGAGAGAATACCTGTACGTTTATTGTACGAAAGATTTAGGGTTTCATAGCGCGGTCGAAATTGGAAACGGTGAAGACGAAGCTTGGAAACATATACCAATTTTGGGCTTTGGGCCTAAATATATTTCATGGGCTTCGAAAGAGGAGAAGGAGCTTAGTGGAAAGTGAAAGTTACAAATATTTGCTTCTAATATCACAATTCATGATTAAAAATCTGTTGGGAATTAAAATTAAATTTTTAGTAAATTTTAATAAAAATTGATGGAATGTGTGATTGAAAAGTTGTAAAATTTATAAAATATGTAGTTAAAATTAATTATTAACTTTTACTTAGATTAAACTTTAAATTTTAATCGATACCTAACAACGGTTAAGAGTCACAAATTTTTTTTTTTCAAAAATCAAATATAATTAAAATTTTAAATATTAATAATAATATTATAAATTAAATTAAGACCCTATTTAAAGGAAATTTTTAGGGCAAAAAAATGATTTTTTTTTTTTTTATCATTGGCCACTCATTTACAACCGTCTTTGTTGACCACAACTCTCATAGGTAGGTCACAGTTGACTAAAAAAGGTCAAAAAATTACATTTTTTTGGTGGAAAAGCTGCTCCAAATAATCATTAATTAACACACCCCAATCCACCCCACCTGATTCACAAATCCTAAAATTATTTAGTAATGATGTTTGTTCAGGCTCAAAGATCGAAAAAAAGACTGACTTGGCTGCATATGATTGGGTGTTTGTCCTTTTATTTTTCAAACAATCCAACCACGTATTGACACATGTGCACCATATTTTCTAACGTATTTTTAGCCTGTTTGTAAGAGTGGGCATTTTTTCCCAAAATCGGTGGAACCGAACTGAAACCATTTAGAACCAGTCAGTTCGGTTCTGGATCTTCTAAAAAATAATTTGATTTTGGGACAAGTTATTAAGAACCGATCGGTACCGGTCCAATTCCTGATTCTAATATGAGAACCGCCGGGAACCAAACAGTTCTTATAGGATTTTTTTGGTAAAATATATGACTCAATTTTCAACACTTTTATAAAAAATAATCGGGTTCCTTCTTAATTTTAGACTCCAGTACTTTCCTTCTTTTCTTTGATTCTTTCCTTCTCTCTTCTTATAATTCTTTGATTAATTGATTCTCAATCAAAATTAGAATATTGGGTAAATATATACCTAAATAAATTTATTTACAAAATATAATTTCATTTCTAAGATGCGAAATTTTTATTTTGTTTTCACTTTGTAAATCTATACTTAAATAAATTTTTGAATAGTATGTTCGGTTCTTCTATAATTTGTTAAAAGTATCACGTTGGTAGCATCTTTAAATTTTTTACTAGTGAACATTTTATTTTTACATTTTCAATGTAAATAATCGAACCGGACCGAATCGGAACCGATTGGTTCGGTTCCATTGTTAGTTATGGAACCAATGATTTCATTTCTAAAATTTTCATTGGTATTCGGTTCGGTTCGATTCCCTTTGGAATCAGACCAAATTGGATCGTGCCCACTCCTATCTGTTTATGTAGCATTTTTCAAAATTATTTTCATTCTTCCCTCTCTTCTCTATCATCTTCCCTCTCCCAATTCTATACACTCTTCGTCAATCGCCTCCACTGTCGGGGAGCACTGTCATCGAAGACCGTCTCTATACCATCTTTACTTTGAGCGATGCCCGTGAAGCCATTTCTTGATTGTCAATCCTGTATGCAATGGCCCAGATTGCCGGAGGTTCTACAAATCATGGTAAAGCCATTCCTTTATTGTGAGCACCCATCGGAGGCTCGCAGTGGCGCAAATCGCAGTGGTATGTCATAGATCATGGCTATAGCAGCGTAGATCGCGGTGATGATTTTTTTACCCTTTTTTTTTGGATGGGTGGTAGTGGTTTTCTATGTTTTGGTGGTTTTCGGGTAGTGATGGCGATACTACAAGCAGTTGTCACTGGAGACAACAGCTCATGTTGTGGTGGTCGTGGCATTGGCGGAGGCAGACATATTTTGTTATTTTTGGGGATGTATTTTGTTGACGATGATGCAGGTGGACTTCGACGCTGGTAAGGTGATGTGGTGGTCGATTTGGCACTATTGGCTGTGGTGGGCTGATGGTCACAAATGATTGCAGTGCAAGCAATGGCGATGATGCCATGGTGTTGGGGACGACAACAGGATTTGAGTGGGACCAATAGTATCTGTGACAAAAATGTGATCGTTCCCCACAATTTATTAAGTTGTAATCGAGAAATAACTCATGATCAATTAATTTAATAATTTGTGACCGTTAAATAAGTTCTTATTTATAAAATTTATAATTTGTTATCGATAAATGAACTGTAGCCAAAAATTTGGAATCGTGATCGAGAAAAATTTATAATAAATTAATTTGAGAATTTGTGGCCAAATTATATGGATTGTGATTTTAATATACTCAATTAATAAAATATATTTTTAATTAATTATTTCAAAAAATAAAATTTAATAATATTTGATTTTTGAAATTTTTACCATTGTTTCTTAGTTTTAGAATGGGTCATGATTAACCTCTTAGATATGAAATTTTCATTAATGAAAATTACACCACACACCATTTTAAAATAAGTTAATTTGAACTTTTATAATTAATGAAAGAAATATTTATTTATTAATAACTAAATAACTTATAATTGAACCTTTTAAGCTCAATATGGACGTATATTCTCATGCAAAAATATTTTTTTACTTATAATTTATAAGCAAACCTTTAAAGTTATTTATATTCTTCATAAGTCATGCAAGATTTTTAGGGCGCGTTTTGATTTTTTAAAAATAAATTTTGGAGAAAATATTTTTTTTTATAATATACAATTAAAAAGTAGGAAAAATCATGGATTCCTATAAAATTATTTCATTAGAAGAATATTTATTTAAAAATTATTATTTCGAATATTTTCTTGTGTGCCAAATATTTGTAACGTTCACGAAAACAAGCTTTTCTTGCATAAAAATAATGCAATCTCATAAAATTTTAAAACTTTTTACTAGTTGTCAATGCTTTACAATTAATTGTCGAAAAAAATGACGTAGCTCAGCATTGCAGGAGCTTTGAACTTTGAAGAGTTGAGTATAAGAATGTTTGGTTAAAGTTAATAAATTTATTTATTATTTCAAATATACGTATACATGATTTTTTTTTCTTATTTATAAATAAAAAAGTTATAAAAAATAACTCTGATCAATAAAAAAAACAATTACTTTTTAACTTATTTATTTTCTAATGAGTAAATTTTGAGGAAAGGTAGACATATATTTTAGGATTCCACATTTTACTTTTCTATCTGGTGACTATTATTTATTTATTTATATATATATAATATATAAACAATTTTGGAAGAGTTTTGTATTCACTTGGTTGGACTAGATTTTTCTACTTTTCATACCAATCTCCAAATTGGAATTGAATTCGGAAATTCGACTTTATGAAACTCTAAACCTTTCTCAAATTTATCAAATTGCCTTTATTTTTATTTTTATTTTTTTTGTGGAAGAGCCCTAAAGCCCTCTTTGAATCCTAATTTCCGCCCGGATTTTCCCTCGTTACTTGGAGCTCTAATTATTATTTTTGCTGATAAAATTAAGAGATTTCAGGAATAATTTAGAAAATGTTTAACGGAATGATGGATCCGGAGTTAATTAGAATGGCTCAGGACCAGATGAGTCGCATGTCACCCGATGATCTGGCTAGGATTCAACAGCAGGTACTTATTCTTTGGAGATCGATTATTTTATACATTATTATGGTGGATTTTACTGGGGAATTTTGTAGTCTGAAAAAATTGTTCGCAATTGCTTTGGTCCTGTTGGCGTGCTCTCTTAATATGATGTCATGTTTCTTGAAAACCAGGCAGTATGATGAGTGTATCAGGGAAGGCACGGAGGTATCAATAACCTATTTCTCTCAGTCAAGTCATTGTGTGTCAATTCAATAGGTCGTACAACTCCTTTTTTTGGTTGCTCATTTGCTTTATAGGTGCTTTGGAGGTGCAATTATTTTTAGTAAAATTTTTATTACAGCAATCAGGCACAAGTTTCTATATAAAATTGGTAATACTGCTGGAGAAAAGATTTTCTAGGACTAGGGTCAGCAAGTATTAAATCTTTAATAAATGTTTATTCTTCCAATTGAGGGTATCACTAACCTTTTAGCGAAAGCTTGTTGTCCATGAATGCTCTAATATTAATATATATTCAAAATACTTGTCTGTGTTTTTTATGCGAAATCATGGTTATCATAGTCAATACAGAATAAAATTGAAAACAATAACTTTTGGATCTGCAGGTTTTGGCATACGATGCAAAGAGTGTCAAAGCCCTTTACCGAAGGGGTCAAGCATATAAGGAATTGAGGCAATTCGAAGTAAGTATCTGTTAAAATTATTTCATGTTGTTTCTTTTGCTTTCAAATGCTATGTCCATTTTATATTTTATTTGCTTGTCATACTAACTTTGAGTATATGCCAGGATGCAGTGTTTGACTTGAGTAAAGCTCATGAAGTTTCTCCTGAAGATGAAACTATTGCAGATATCTTAAGGTACTGAATTTTCAGTTAGTAAACTTGGTATTTTTGTGCTCTGTGTGTGTGTGTGACTGAAAACCGGTCCTTTCTTCTTTCTTTCCTCCCATTGTTGATTGTCCATTTATAGAATATGTTTGGCCTATGTTTTCCCCAAACTTTCAAGATCTGCTCACCAAATTCAAAGCCTGAGTCGTCTACTTCTGTGACAGGGGTGCAAAGGAAAGATTAAGTGAACAAGGCAGTGAGCGTCCTTCAAAAGGTCTTCTCATTTACCTTTTTTCTAGTATTTTTATATTTTTATGTTCTTTACAACATTGAATTCCATAATTTGTATATTTTTATATATCCACTGCATTGCCAATGTCTTGCAATGTTATTTTAGTTATTTTTGTTCTTTTCCTGTATAGGATTGGTTATTGAAGAAATAACTGAAGAAGAAACTGTGTCTTGCAACAAACATGAAAGTTCAAAATCAGAAAATTTTACACCACCAAAAGAAACAAGTCAATGCTCGAGAAGTCCAACTAAAAACCTTAGGGAGCCTCTATCGATGAATTCTGAGTATTTGAAAGCGCTAAAAGATGATCCCGAATCTATCGGGTTTGTCCTTATGTTCTCGTTCTAGATTTTTTTTTTTTCATATACATATGTCCTCTATATTTCTGAAAATAATTGGACAATAGGATTCGAATTTTATGAGATGTATACATTTCAATGTTTGGATTTGTTTGGATGTATTTGATTAAATCTGTAATATGGCCAGCTTGAAATCTTCTAAGATGTCCGTGTCATCATGCAGAAGACCTTTTAGGCGTTTCAATCTTTATCTCTAGCAGTTAATTATCACGTTGATCTTTTTTAAGATAATTCATTTATGTTCAATACTGAATTAATTGTACATCTTATCTTCTACTATTAAAGTTCCTTCTTTAATAGAAGGGTGCTAATTTAGGTGACTTTTATTCCTAGCATATGTAATACGTAAGCTGTTGTACATGTAATACGTAAGCTGTTGTACGTGATACATGATTTCTGTGATCATACTGTTAATAATTTAAATCTCATGCTTTGTTTGGAGTTGTGATCTCGGCTGTACTAGTACTTGCTCGTTCTTTCTGTCATTCTTATTTCTTGTCCGATTCCTGAGCTAATTATGTGCCATATTCAACTCAGTCCTACATGAGTCTCTGCGTATGCACTGCAGTTAAAACTCTTTTGCTTCAATGTCCATGCAGATCCTTCCAAAACTTTATTTCTCGAGCCGAACCAGAAACCTTATCTACTATAAATGGTGGGAGAGTTGATGGTATATCTCCTGATATGGTAAAGGCTGCTTCAAAAATTATTGGCAACATGTCCCCCGAAGAACTTCAAAGAATGTTTCAAATGACTTCCTCCTTCCAAGGGGAAAACCCAATGACCAGCTTTAGCACTGGATCAGTTCCACCAGACATGACACCTGACATGCTTAAGACTGCTAGTGAAATGATGGGTAAGATGCCACCAGAAGAACTTCAAAAGATGTTTAAAATGGCCTCCTCTTTGAAAGGTAAAGAGGTGGGATCATCAACATCATCTCTACATTCTAGTTCTGGGTCAGTTCCACCGAATGTGACGCCTGACATGCTTAAGATGGCAACTGATATGATGAGTAAGATGTCAGCAGATGAACGTCAAAAAATGTTTGAAAATGCGTCGTCTTTGAGAGGGACAGATTCGGCATCGACATCGGCATTTAAACCTAATGGATTCAGGCCAGATGATAATTCTGAAACTAGAGAAGATTTCAGAGCAAATGGTGATCAAGTTGGTGAAAGTAGTTTTTCTCAAAGTTTGCATTCAAGAAGTGCTCCTCAATCAAGCTTGTCAAGTTCGGATACTGATCTGCAGGAACAAATGAAAAATCAAATGAAAGATCCAGCTATGCGAAAGGTTTTCAGCTCGACTCTTTGTCACATATTATTTCTTATGTTTTTTTATTGATTTTGATCGTTCTCAAGCTTCCTTAGATTTCTTTGTTTGTCTTTTATAAATCTTTTGTTTAAAGACAAGGTAAAGAATTATGTGATTTTTGTTATATGATTTCTATGGAGATCACGCGACATTTGAGAAGCATGAATATCACTTTTGCCGAGTAGTAGAATGACTTATATGGCTGTTAATTCCTTTTTCCATTTAATCGGATTTTCAGTCAGTCCAATTTTGAAGAAACCTTCACGTAATTTAATCCAGAACATGTTTTCATTTAGCCTTGGGGAATGATATTGACATCCATGAAGAATGAAAGAAACAAGAAGCTTAATCTTTCTTGTTATCGCTTCCTTGCTTCAGCTAGTTTTTAATTGTTTAAAGTCAAACTAACACTCAGAATCAATCCTAGGGATGGGTCCGATTATGTAAGTTACTGTTGTTTATTTTGTCTTCTTTTTTCTTCTTGTTGGGTTCTAAAAGCCAAGGGGTGTAAAATGAGACTCCTGATACATTTGGGATAGGTCATATGTGGAGATGAAACTTGGACGTCAGCTGCACATACCTTTTTCGCTTTCAAAATAAATTCTTTCCTTGACGCACATGTATGACATTCTGTTACTAAGAATATTTGTTCTGTTTCTGAATTGGCAGATGTTCACATCAATGGTTAAAAATATGAGCCCCGAAATGATGGCAAACATGAGCGAACAATTTGGATTCAAGCTTTCGCGGGAGGATGCAGAAAAAGCTCAACAAGCCATGTCATCTTTGTCACCTGATGCGTTGGATACAATGGTACAAAAACTAAAAAAATAAAACTTTTTCAACTTTAACAACCAAAAAATTATTTGTATTAAATCTTATTTACTTATAAGTAAACTTTTTAAGCATATCCCACTGCTCTAAATATGTTTATTTGCTCTCCCCCAGCCATTGGTGGTCCTCTACCTACTGCTCCATTTGTAGATTTATCGTCAAAAAACATTTTCCTTAAATAATGTGAACTTAAATTGTTGCAGATGAAATGGGCAGATAAAATTCAACGTGGTGTAGAAGGTGCTCGGAAGACAAAAAATTTGCTTCTCGGAAGATCTGGGATGATTTTGGCAGTAGTTATGCTCCTTTTGGCATTCATCCTTCACTGGTTTGGCTTCATCGGTAAGTAGATGAGACCTTTTCTGTATCACACTGACATTATTAAGCTGATCCCAGGCACAAGCCTTCTTGTTTAAACACATCTAGTGGGGGCGGTGGGGGGGATGTTACAAGAAAGAAAGTGCAGGTTGGAAGGTCAGTGAACTATATTTAGAGGTATATCAGCAAAACAACCCGGCAACTGTTTTTGCTTATTAGCATTTACAGTTAAGTGTTTTGTTTCAGCGGATAGTTGTATGTTCATTGTGAAATAAGATTACTTAATTTAGTGCGGAAGAAATTTCGCAAGTGAGAGCTTGCTCTACTTGTATCATTAGGTAATCATGCATCTTTAAGATGCTGTAATGTAGATTCTGAATGGTGAATCCTCCCAGCAGTTGGATCAATTTATATTCTTATTTTTTGAATTGTGATTAAATATTTCTGTAATAAGATGATGTTCTGTTTTGTTGTTTCTTTCTTTTGTCCCAGTATGAACCGGTTCACATTGGTTCTGACCATAGTGCTAAGCCTAGCATGGCCTGTCTTCGAAGGTCGACCAACCAATGATTGATTTGGCCTTTCAATTAATTACTCCTAAGTCCAATCTTTTGAGTTTGTCCAATGTAAGAGGCGCTCAAGAAGTTAGTTTAATTTCTAACAAACATAAAGAAAATATGGAAAGTGGTACTTCTTACATTTTTTGGGTATTCTGAGTAAATACATTTAATTAAAAATAAATGTTGATGCTTCAAATCGTATAATATATGCTTCCTAATCCAATTTGAGACAAGTAGCTGTATCATATAATCTTGAATTTTAGATCTATAACTCTCTACTCAATGTCATAATCGGTCGAGATTTAATGTTTGTGAGATTTTCACCCTTGTGCGAGATTCTTGAGGGCTATTGTGGTGTAATTTAAATTTGGTACTATTTTGAGATGAATAATGCCATTTAGCATTAGTAATATTAGAGCATTAGTTTAGGTTATTGCATTTTATATGATAAATTAAATGAGTCATGCGGTTTTGCATTTAAATGAATTTATCATTTACCCTGTTTGAGCCCCATTACATTAGGGGGCGTTTGGAAGACGTTTTTATGTAAAAATGTATTTTTGAATAGTAAATTGATGGAAAATGTGTGGTTGAGAAATAAGAAATTTTTATTTATTTATGCGTAATATTATTTTAATAAAAAATGTGTGGTTGAAATGAAGAGAGAGAAAAATGCATTTTGAAAAAAATGTGTACCAAACGGGGCCTAAATTCCATTACATTTCATTTTTCTCTCCTATTTTCAACCACACAATTTTTTATAAAATAATATTACACGTAAATAAAAAAAATTTCATTCTTTTTCAGCCACTCATTTTAAAAAAAAAAAAATACTATTTTATCCATTAATTTTTTCACGTAATGGGGGTCAAATAGGGGAAATAATATGTAATTGCTATTTAGATTGGTGATTAATATTGATGGTTAACAATATTGTTTTGAGATTGTGCTAGGGGATTTCAAAGAATGTTTAATGAGACGTGCACCTTTTGAATGACGAATAATTATATTTTTCACCTTATTCTTCTTGATTCCCATAACGTTGGCATCGCACAAGCTTTATTTATGCCCTTCCTATGGGTACACAAATGTTCTAAAAATAGTATTCAAACTAGTGGTTTACGCTTTTACACATTTTTTATACTCGTTTTTGGAAAGACGGTTAGTCATTTCAGAATCCATTAAGAACAAAACAAAGAAAAGTACCAATCAATTTGTCGGACAGCAATACCACAGTACATGGCGGCGTACAATTATAAATGGCACATATTCGAGTATTTTTGAAGAATATATTTTGTATAAAGTAAAAAAAAAAATAAAAAAAATTGGAGAATTTATGATAAAAAAAGTAAAAAATAATTTCCAATTTACGTGCAAGATTATTTTATGTGAAGAACGTGTTATTTAAAATGAGTTTTAAAAAATGGACTCAAACATTTGCATAGTTTTTCGATCAAGAACATGTTAGCTTGGGATTTTAGAAAAATAATGAGAGGTTGAGTTCTTGCTTGATAAGGTTTTTTATTTGCTAAAAAGTCAATCGAACATGTTCAAATTTTATTTTTATCCATACATTTTATTGAACCCACAAAATTTATCCACTTTTTCATCATACATTTCATGGATGTCGTCAACTTTTTATCAAAATCTCAGAATCTATGCTTGTTTGTTCTTGTCGTCTACTTCTCGGACTCGTGTAGTCCTAAAGTAAAATATTATTAAAATTTCAAGTCCAACTAAGGAAAATATATTAACAAAATTCCCACATATTATTGAAAAAAAAAAGTAGCTTACTTATTTCTGAAAAAGAGATAAGACGTTCAATTTTGTTCTGGAAAAAGATTCTGATATTTAAGTATTGTCATTATCTATCTATAAAAATTGTGAACATATAAAGTATTTGAATTAAATAAATAAATTCATATGTGCATAAAGGCACCGTTTCAAATAGAACGTATTGGCTACTAGAACACAAGATACCTAAATAAATCACAATACCAACTTAAGCTTTTTCGAATGTTTAATAAAAATTTCATCGACGATATGCCTACCTCTGATTTTAGTGTACAGAACATTTGTTTCATTATTAATTAATTATTATTGATGTTGGCCGGCTAATCATCCAAATACGGTGGTCGATCAGATAGAGAGAGTTATAATAGAATCATGTCACAATGATATAATAATTGATATAATGATTGTAATGTCACATAATACTTCATTATTAGACTGTTTTAAATACACTCAACTTTTTTATCATATCGCATCTTGCCAAATCATATTATGTCATTCTATCTCTTAACCTCTTTCTGTCAAAGTGACATAAACCCTTAAAATATGGTCAATGAGATGCATCGAACAACTTAGTGACTAGATTGAACATAACGAGTTGGCACCATTTGGCACCTTGCCACATCATCATGAGCGTCACTTGAAGTCATAACTAAGCACAATTCCCTCGAAATTGTTCATTCGCAGCACAATTCAAACACAACTGCCCTAAAACTATCCATCTAGGAAGGGTAGAAAATACAAACCACCAATCAGAAAAACCTATCACCACCGTGTACCGCCACCTAAAACAATACAAAGAATTTTCTTTATGAGATACATATGTGGGATTATTATCGACTTGTTAGTTTATACTCTATTATTTTCTTATTTTTCTTGATATCTTATTTGTCCAAAAATAAAAAATAAAAAATAGAAGTTGAATGATGACTAGAATATTTATCCCATAAAGAAATAGGCAATAATTTTTTGTGAATATATTTTATTGTTTTTAAACCAATGAATTCCGAATGGATTCTTTGTTTATGTGACAATAGATTATGCAATGAGTGCCCAATAATGGTAAAGATCCTGTTATGAGATGAGAATTGTCCCAAAAAAGCTTCATAAAGCAGTACCCTTTTTCCTTTTGTTTTTGGGACCTTCGTTTCCCTATGATTTTAGGCTTTAACCATCCTACCACGACCCACAATTAAAAAAAATATATATGTTTTTCACTTGAATAATTGACAATTTTTTTCTTGCAATGTTACATGATGTCCACTTTCTGATTTCTCCTAATATTTTGTTTAACGTGTTTTCTTATATATCAATAATTTGTAATTTATTAAATGCAATTATTATAAAGCAAGAATAGAAAGCACGTATTTTAAAAACTTAAAATAGAGAATCTATTTGGGCTCATTTTTAAGTATTGACTCTCATTCTCTCAAAGATAGGAATCCTATTGTATTTAAAGAGCTAGTTTCTTCAAAATGCTCTTCGAGATCATTACTAGTCTATATAGCACTGATGCGAGTTAAATGGTAAGATTAATTACAAATGTGGATATAAATCCACTTTATTGATCTTATCATTTAATAACATTTTACATCGTGTCATCTCTATTCATTTAATGTCCTTGTTTGCAGGGCAAAAATATTTTTCGATATTTTTATTAAAATAATATTAGACAAAGAAAATCTACGTCAACAAGTGCACTTGATAACAATTCAACACAAATTAAGGAAATGCCGATTCAAGTTAATTAGAACATGTAACCTCTTGCTTAAAAGAGTAATTCGATTTTAGCAAAATAGATCCGAAAGAGAGAGGTTACAAGAATGAGAGATAAACATGTAACACTTGAGTAGTTGTAACTGTGAACGATTTAAATAAATAATATTTTAAATAGAAGTAACTGTAGAAGAATTTGTATCTTTTTGCTTTCTGGGTTCAACTTGTCTGTAATGTGCATTCCAAGTGTTCGAATTTGAAATGGTAGTCAAAGAACAGCTCTATGATTATAGACTTTTTATTGTCTATGTTTCTTTTGCATGCCAAAGTGTGTAGTGTGTACATTTCATTTCGTTTATATATAGCTTTGTTTGGTCCTTGTAGCCTTTTGTGTTTCCCTTTTTTCTCTTCTTTCAGTGGAAGGTCAGAATAGTATTTTTACATGATTATTTTTCTGTGTGTCCAAAATATCATTTTAGCTCGATACTTGGAATTTACTTCTAACATCTCACTATTAAGCAAAACAATTTTGTTACATGCACAGAAATTATATACAAATAGGTGGCAATAGATGCATATGTTCAAATCAATGGAGCGTGCATCTGTCAACGAAGTTGTATAAAATCATATATACTAGTAGGTTAATTGTAAGCAGAATATGTCGACTATGGACACTCTTGGTTATAAGAAGACGCAAAAGGCCATTTTTCTTATCTAGACCAACACCTGAGCGAAGGATATTACTAGAGAGACGGGGGATCTTCGGTGAAGGAGATGGTGATTTTCTTTTTTTCTTTTTTTCATATATACAATAATCGTTTGTTTTGTTAAACGAGAAGGCAAATACATGTTTTCTACTAATTTAAGACGACCTCAAGATGATTTCTATTAAAAGTTATAAAAATCAACCTAAAATAAAAGGTTAAAGTTTCGAGAAAAAATTAAGCACTCATTTCCCATTGTCTTAATCGTCGAGGACCAGGCAAGCAAATTACCTTTCGTTAAATGACAATAAATTTTAACGTTGTAAGAAAATGTTTAAAATACCAAATACATGTTTTCTACTAATTTAAGACGACCTCAAGATGATTTCTATTAAAAGTTATAAAAATCAACCTAAAATAAAAGGTTAAAGTTTCGAGAAAAAATTAAGCACTCATTTCCCATTGTCTTAATCGTCGAGGACCAGGCAAGCAAATTACCTTTCGTTAAATGACAATAAATTTTAACGTTGTAAGAAAATGTTTAAAATACATAGTAATTTCTCTTTTGTTCAAATCTTATTTTCTATTTTGATATATCTCTGATTCATGTGCATGTGTATCTTTCACCTCTATCCTCATCCCCATCTCCCTCATTTTTTCCCCTGCTCGCAATTCTAATGTTTATTTAAAAACATTTGAAAATA